TCTTGTGATCGATATGATACCTCTTCATTCACTGCTACGAATTGATGGCGGTCAGATAAGTACGATTTGAACCATGTTAATGCACTTCCATTAATGCCAACAAAGTTTTCTAGTCTATTCAATGTTGTGGTCAATAGTGTCGAACGCAGCGCTAACTCTAATGAGAGCAGTCTCAGTACTATGATACGGTCTAAATCCTGACTGGAAATCCTTACAGATACCATTTTTCTCTAAGAAGGAATACAATTTGTGTTGTTGGTTTAGATGATTTAACAAGTTTATACAATTCTTCCTCTCCTATAGTAGAGAATGAGTGGAATTGTTTCTCAGGGGATCTATAGCACACTATCTGATGTGATACTGTAGAGTCAAATAAAGTAATTACTGCTGTGCTGTTGGGAAATGTCAACACCTGTTGATGCTTTGTTTTTCGTAAATTTAGCCTCTGTATTGAATAAATACCTGGGGTTATGTTTGTTTTCTTCTAAAAGAGACGAAAAGTAATGAGATCTAGCAGTTTTTAATGCTTTTCTGTAGGATAGGGTACTTTCCAGCCAAGCAATACGAAATACCTCTAGTTCTGTTTTCTCCAGCTGCGCTGTGTGTGTGTGTGTGTGTGTGTATATGAGTGTGTGTGTGTGTGTGTGTGTGTATATGAGTGTGTGTGTGTGTGTGTGTGTGTATATGAGTGTGTGTGTGTGTGTGTGTGTGTATATGAGTGTGTGTGTGTGTGTGTTATTATGTTGTGTGTGTAATCAATATTCTTTCTTTGTAGAAACTCTACAAAGAGAAGTTTAACTCAGAGAAAGGCAAATCAAACTACTCACAGATGAAGGATCTGCCCGACGTCACACACGCCATTCAGGTCAACAAACACCAGAGCAATGTAAGAGCACACACACACACACACTCACATTTTTACAATAGAAAAAATATGTCCCCAAAAGGAGGTTTTATGAGGTTTTGTCAAATTAGTCCTCTGAATGATGCTCAGTGAGGTCTCATCTGTCTTTTATTAGCGTCACACACTGTCATGAGCGTTTTGCATTCAGCTAAACACATTTGTTTTGAGCTGCTCTGACTCTCAGCAATGTGTTGCTGAAGGTGGCGTATCGCCGAGGGAAGGAGGAGCTTCATAAATTCAGTGAGGTGATGGACAGACCTGACATCCGGAACGCCACACACGCCAGTAAACTCGCCAGTGACGTGAGTGCTGCTCCTCATACAGGTGTTTGTGTGACACGTGTGTGCTCAGGAATAATGCGTGGCGTCCTCACAGGTGGCCTACAGGAGTAAAGTGGACACGTTTGACCAGCGAGCGCTGCTGGAGCGACCCGACATACAACACGCCAAAGAGGCCACGCGACTGGCCAGTCAGGTACGAGACACGTCACGTGATCGGTCTTCAGTTTGTTCACTGATGCACGTGTTAAAGCCATTCTCTCCTCACTGGTCTCAGATTGTCTCTGTTTCTGCAGGTCAACTACAAGCAGAAGTTTGAGAAGAATCTGAGAGAACAGAAGCCGCAGTACAACCCCAGCGAGTGTGTGAGCTTCAGACAAACACAGGCCGCGTCAGCTCTGGCCAGTCAGGTGACTCACACACACACACACTCACTCATACACACACACACTCACTCACGCACACACACTCACTCACACACATACACACACACACACCACACACACACACACACACACACACACACACACATACACTCACGCTGAATGGCTGTCCAGGATGATCTGTTCTCTTCATTCAGCTCATGTTGTTTTGCTCCTCTAAAGATGCGTCTGATTCCTGCCAGACTGCACTGGTGTCCATGGAAACACTTTCACAGCCGTTTGAGGAGATTTTCCCTTGTTGAGTCATTATGGTGTATGAGGAGTGTGTGCATGTGTTCATCACACGTGTTTGTGTGTGTGTGTGTGTGTGTGTGTGTGTGACAGGTGAAGTACAGTCAGAAGAAGCTGCAGGCCGTCACTGATTTACCCAACCTGCTTCATCTGGGCCACGCGCTCCATGCCAGCAAACTACAGAGCAACGTACAGACTCTGATTCACTCGTCTGATGATTCTGTTACATTCTGCATCAGCTGTGATGATTAGTTTGTGTTGAGATTCATTTTGATCTGTGTTTGCAGTGGAAATATAAAGAGGAATACGAGAAGAACCGGGGGAAGTCGCAGATGGAGTTTGTGGACACACAGATATATAAAGTGTCAAAGGAAGCGCAGAAGATGCAGAGCGAGGTGATGTGTGTGTGTGTGTGTGCGTGTGTGAGTGCGCGTGTGCGTGTGTG